ATCCCCAGCCCTATTTTGTATTTTATTTAGAGACAGGGTCTCACTGAGTTGCTTAGCACCTTGCTTTTTCTGAGGCTGGCTTTGAACTTGCGATCCTGCTGCCTTAGCCTCCAAAATTGCTGGGATTACAGGCATGCATCACCACGCCCAGCATGATAACGGATTTAACACCAGTTCCATACAAGCCAGATGGTTAGAGAAACAAAGTAGAAGCGCATTCATACTGTTTCTTAGGGAAGAAAATGTTTTCCTCACAAATGATGGGAGGCTTTGAAGTTGTGCAAGGAGCAAAGCCACAGGCGAGGAGAAAGGAACGCAATGTTCTTTCAAGGCATTTGGGGCCCTCAATAATTTTGCCAGAATAAGTGATGTCTCTCTCTAAAAATCATCAAACTGCTTAATTTTGGAGAGTGAGAGAAATGATGTTAATATCAGCCCCTCTTGTCCATACATATTTTTGTACATCCTAGGCACCTTTGATATCACTACCTGTGAAGGCCTCCCTCCTCAAACTCCAGCCTGAGATGCCTAAACTGAAAATAATTTCTTACTTCCTTATGCAAATTGAGAATCTTTGTAGTGAAGAAAAAAGAATATCACAAATGAAATTTGACAGTAGATGGAGTGTTGTCCATGACAAGAGTGAACTGCGGACTATGTTTTTATAAAACTGAAAACCCTATATGTGCAAGTATTGGCAGATGTTGGTATGAAGCAGGAGAAAGGGTAGAACTTTGGACATTGCTTACCACTGTGGGGTAGAAGGGAAGGGGCTAGGGGACACATTAACTCTTTCCTCAAATAGCCTCATAATGTTCACGTTTGTTACAGTGATCAAAAAATGTTACATTTCCCCTTTAATCGAACAGGAGGAAAATGAATAGTAAAGAACCCAAAAAAGGAAAATAAATCCCATGAATGAAGATATCTTTTTAAAATTGATTCAATGAAAGCATTCTCTGAGAGGCTGGGGTTGTGGCTCAGTGGTAGAGGGCTCACCTCAAAGGTGCGGGGCCCTGGGTTCGATCCTCAGCACCATATAAAAATAAGTAAGTGAAATAGAGGTATCATGTCCAACTAAACTAAAAAATAAATATTGAAAAAGCATTCTCTGAGTAAAATATATTCCATAGCAAAGAAATATATTCCATATATTCTATAGAAATATATCCCAGGTAACTAACAGTCTCACAAATGACAGCCAAAGTGAAGTATATCTGAAGATTTACAGAAAAGTAATTCACCAAATATCCAGCACTACCAATTAGGAGACAGATAGTATTCAACCACTTACTAAAATTGCCTCTGGGAACCAGCAGTGGCCAGGCATCATGCCAGCAATTTGAGAGCAATTATGAATTTTATCAGAGCAGAAAATAATTAACTCCAGTTTTGGAACTGTTTAGGTTTTAATGTGATAAATTTCTATCATGAAACAGACAGATAAAAGGAAACTAACTGAGTGTTAACAAGTGTGAAAAGGAAACTAACCCAGTATAAACAAGTGTGCAGGGATTGTGCTCCAATATTTGGAGGTCTAAGGGGAACTGAAGTGGGATGAGCAAAGCTTTGGAACCAAGAAGTCCTAAGTTCAAATTCTGGCTTGGTTACTACTTGCTGTGTGGCCTGAACACATCTCTGAACTTCTATTTTCCAAGGGGCAAGATGAGGATGAGTATTTCTCACTCTTTTCCCTCCCCTATCCTAGTACTGGGTATTGAACTCAGGCATTCTCTACCACTGACCTTCATCCAGTCCTTTTTATTTTGAGACAGGGTCTTGCTCATTTGTCCAGACTGGCCTCAAACTTGTGATCCTCCTGCCTCAGCCTCCCGAGTCACTGAGATTAAAGACAGGCACTACCACCCCCGGCTAAGGATGAATATTTCTATCTAGCAAATTGTACAGGGGGGAAAGAGTAAAATCATATATTTAAGCAGCCACACCTGGAAAGCAATAGACACCCAATAAAGGAAGCTATTATTACTAAATTTCTGCAGTACCTATTGATCAAGACTGAGCTCTCTGCTCACTCTTCTAAGAACATATATTTGTAATCTTCTGCCATTCTATTTATGAGGAGTTTTGTTCAGGTGACAAAATTTGGATCCTGGAGATCTTATTAAAATGCAAATTATAATTCAACAAGTTTGAATAGGGCCAGAGATGATGCATTTCTAACAAACTGCTGTTGCTGCTGGTCTGTGGGCCACAAGCTAAATGGCAAGGTTCTGGGGTACAACAGCTATAAGTTAAATTTTTTTTAAATGGGGGCTGGAGATATAGCTCAGTTGGTAGAGTGCTTGCCTCGCATGCACAAAGCCCTGGGTTCAATCCCCAGCACCACCAAAAAAACTGGGCTCACAGCTCCTTGAGGGCCAGCAAGCCCATTCATCCCCATAGCACTCAATTCAGACACTCAATTAAAGATAAAAGTCAGTAAGTGAAGGGAAGAATGGGTCCATGAATGGCTTGAAAAGTGAAGTTCAGGGAAATTGTTGTCAATTAGCATTTAAAAGTATAAATGAGTTCACAACTTTATATTTCTTGATTATAGAGTTAGCTTTACTTATCACTGAAGCCAAAGGAATGGGTTAACCTGCTCCTAGCACTAGCAAGTCTTATTCACAGTTTCTCTTTTGCCTCACTCCACTAAACCTCTTTCCCCAAATAATTAACCAATAAACTCACCCTGCCTGAAAAGAAGAATCAGGAAAATATCAGAAATCAACACCAGTACACATGTCCACCTAATCAGTAAATTTTCTTTTGATTTACAGGAACCAGGACGTCTGGAATGCCTGCTGACCTGTGGACAACGTGTCAAGAGAACCGATTACTGTGAGAATTAATGACTACTCCGGAGCCCACCTGGCTATGGCTGAAATGAAATGCTCTAGAAACCCCACAGAAGCTTTTGTGTCTGTGACCCCTGGCAAGACGGAATTTTGGAAGAAGCTCTCCATCTTCCAACTTGCTGGCTTGTTGCCAATAAAGCTGTTTTTTTCTCCTGTCACTCTTGTCTCTTGAGTCATTGGCTTTATCAGGGAGCAGCGGAACCATGGTTACATTACTAGTGTTGTTGGTGTTGAGTGCTTTATTGAGCTTGATAACAACCATCTGAAAAGCTCAATAGTGGACTTTCACTTTAGAAATATAACATTTCAAGAATTCACTCTACTGTAACATAAAAAGAAAGATCTAGAACCTCCTTCTTTCCAGGAAAGCCTCCCCACTTCAGGGAACAGTAACTACATGTCCCAGTACACCAATGTAACAACAACTCTTACAAAACAATCATATTGACAGTGTATTATAATTAGCATAGCTTCTCTTCTAAGGCATTTAACAGGTTCATCTCTCTATGCTCTTCCAATTTATAGATTTTTCTAAGTGATTAAGGATCACTTAAAACAAAGAAGCAAATATCCATCATCACACCTATGACAAAATGGAGCACGTTTTCCAACTGAGTTTTCCCATTATAGAATCAACCTGTACAATGAAGTCATTGTACTTTTACTTAATGCTGCTGCAGGAATAAGTGGAGATCAAATGTGCCAAGTAAACCACTGAAGCAGAATCTGGTTTTATTGCTAGGAGTTAGAAACCTGTTAAACTCAGAAAGACCATTGAAAATTCCGTATTAGACAATATTAAGAAACAACTGTCCAAATGTGATCTATTTACACAGCATGAGTCTTCTGATTGGAGCCTCTAGTTGCAGTCAATTGTTCAGTTTGAGGCCTACCTTCCTATGGCTCTTTTGTTGCAAATTAAAGATACTACACACATGGATAGTAGCGTGGCAACTACTCAGCTTCACCAGGTATGTTTGAAAGTTTCCTTCTATAGTCTAAGTGTTCAAAAACATGGGTGTGGCTAACAGGGGCTAATCTTCTCAATAGAATAATAGGGCTCTAATAAATAGAATGCATCCCATTTGTAATAAGGGACTGTAATTAGGTATATTTTAAAATCTAGCTCTGATTTAAACAAGCCACCCCAGGCAGTCATATATTAGTAATTGTCAGTAAAGGAATCCATCCTTTCTGAACTCTAAAGCTTCCAGAGAACTTTAAAACCTCATTGTGCAGTTGTTATAAAGCATTTTATTTTCTTGGTCCCAAAGGTTTTCAAAGCAAATGCATGTTCCCCAGCAGACTTTTATGTTTTCTTACATAAGAGTCAGTTTTCCACTGATAATCTAAAACAAATGTTAATTAAAGTGATGGTTAAGATGGCCCACACTTTCCCCAAACATTTCCATAGCAGGCACACTCCACTTTCCTCTTCCCATATTCTAAGAAACTCTAGCAAGTGTTAATTTTCTTCTTTGGATAAAAATACCTAGAACAAAGCAGTCAAAGAATATTCAGACCTGCTTCCTGGAAAGACTGTCTTAAGCAGCTCACTGTTTGGGGCTGTCACACAATGCCGTGGGAAGGTTGAATTCCTATAGTCTTTCTGGAGGTCACTTTAAAGCCCAACTATCCTTTGATTCACAAATCACTCTGAGAATGTTTCCTAAAGAAAAACTGTGGATTTACACAAAACTTGGATGCAAGAGTTTAAGCACGTGGTTATCACAACACTGTTTATCGTTCTAATTTGCAAAACACAACTATCTAAATTTCACGGAGTATCCAAATAATGAAATTCTACCTAGATATTAAAAATGCTTTCATAAGACACTTAGATATGAAGATATTTATGATTAAGTCATCTAATGAAATAATATGTCTATAATTCTGTTTCCTAAAAAAAATTAGGACTTGACTGAAAGTCAAGTTCATGATAATTACCTTTAGATAGGATGATTTTAAATGTCTTCTTTGTACTTTTTGGTAGTTTTACTCTGTAATTAGGATAGAAACTGTTTTCCTCATTTTTTCTTCTTATCAACATGAAAACAGTCTTTACGTATGTGGAGCCAATCACTAGATTAGTAGGAAATTAATGGATTTAACTAATGATGGGTGAACATAAAATCCACTTACCATATAGATTTGGTTTTAACTTCTTATATTTAAATAAATTCTTCCCAGTAGATTCTCTACCACCTAGTTCCAGTTTCAACTAGCTGCTCCTTTCTCTGAAACAGTTCAGTAATTCCTAGTAAATCAAAATGAAACTCCAAGACAGATAAGGAAATAAAATGTGCCCAGGGAGCTGGCCTGGATGCTGTGCGGAGGGACGGCAGCCATGCCAGTGAATGGATGAAGCGCTTAGACAGCAGGATAATGGAAGAGGGAACGGCTATTCAGATGACAGCTGCCAACTCCCTCTCCTGTCACTCTGCTGCCCACCCCCTTCTCCGGGCCTTGATTCCCAGCCCACAGGAACACTGTGGTGCATGTGGCCTTCATGGTGTTCTCACACTCCAAAAGCACAGAGGATAAAAGGCTGCTGTGTTGAAAGCTTGTGCCTCATAGAGTAACAAGGATGCTAAAAGTGCATAAAAATACGTGGCTCCTTTTCATATCAATCACAGCGTTTGCCAGGCTACTCCCCAATCTGCTGGGAGGTACAAGGGTGAGCATTGTTTAATTGGCTTTGGGAATCTGAGCTGTGCTAGACCTTTAATTAGAAGTTGTTAGAGTAAGCGTGTGTTGTGTGTGCCAGGGAGGGGCAGGCCGGCTCTGCCCTGGTCTTAGTAATGTGCACTTAAAAGAAAAAATTCACTTCTTATTAAAACAAAGTTCAAGGTAGCAGGACCCTAAGCTTTTATTCATGACCTTAATCTCTTTGTATACAAATATGGCTTCATATAATGCTTCAATTGTTTTTTTTCTTCAATTGTTTATCCTCAATTTCAGAATTTTCTTATCTAGGCCAACAAAGAAAACTCAGATTTTCAGAATTGGAGTTTCATGCTCAAATGTGTTTAGCTGCCAGGTAGATACAAGAAAGATGCACCATTGAAAAAGGGTAGTTCCTCAGCACCAGCTGTGTGGAATCCATGGCTGGATCTCCTGATTTTTTTTAGAGTAACCGAAAATCCATATTTTCATGTGAAACCTACGTATTTTTACACAAATAAAAATCATTGTTCCTCATGAGCAAAACAAAACATCTCTGAGGGTCAAAATAGGCCTACGAACTATACATTTGTAACCTCTAATTCAAGAAGAAAAAGATCTTAACATAGGATTTTCAAATACACTAAATTTATCTGTTCATGCATATAAAGAGACTAGGAAAAAAATCATAAATTTAAATTCTAAACTGCCTGACCAATTTATCCTAGGTAAGTTCCTAAAATCATTTGGGGTCTGTTTTCCTCCATTAATTAAAATAAGAATAATGTGCTAGGGTTTTAGAATTTAAATATTTTACCCAAGGACTTAATAGGGAAAATGCATTTATTTTTGCACTCAGAGATACTGCTGATTTGTCTCTTTTATGTGTGAAAAGAAACGAGGAACAAAGAAAAGTCATGTATAAGGTAGAGCATGAGGCTGGAACACAAAGTCCTGTCTCTTTATGATTCAGTGATGAAATAAAAACTTCTCTAAAGGATGACCAAGAACACAAGCCTATTAACCCTTTAGGTTCCTGAAGCAAGTCATCATGCAAACAAATTACTTTTATGGTAGTCCCAGTAAGACAAACTCAGGTTCTCACTTCAAACTCTTGGAAAGGAGAACTGCGAGGTGATACATCTTTGTATGTCTTTAACAAGTGGACTATTAATCACAT